TGTTCTTGTTCTTGTTCTAGTTCTTGTTCTTGTTCTTGTTCTTGTTCTTGTTCTTGTTCTTGTTCTTGTTCTTGTTCTTGTTGTTGTTGTTGTTGTTGTTGTTGTTGTTGTTGTTGTTGTTCTGTTTGGGTTTGTCTGGCTTGGGTTGCGCATGAATCCGTGAGAGTCGCTTGTCTGGTTGGGTTGGTCTGCTGTTGCTTCAGGCTGTAAGAGGCAACATAGTGTCTAGGAGAGGTGGCGAACACTTCAGGAGATTGCAGTGGTTGTAGCGGAGTCCGGACCAAGATTCTTTTGGTGCAGGCTGTGAAGACCGATGGAAGCGCTCTCAGGGACGCGTGGCTTGCTGAGCTTCACGTTGTTACATGACTTCGGCTGTTGATTCACGGGTTACGAAAACTCCCTCTGGGAGAGCTTGCGGGACTTCTTGTCGTATTTTTCGGGCCTCCATGATTTGGCCACCTGTTGTCGGCCTGATCTTTGGTGCCTCTCATCTCGAAAGCCCCTCAAGCTTCTGGTCAAGAAATCTGAAGCAAGGCCCCCCACGATGGGCCCGTCTATGGTTCGCATGTCCCAAAAATGCAAGTGCATCAGCTGTGCTGCAGGTGTTTGCTGTCGACTTTGCAATTGAGAAGATTGCATGTCTTGAGCGGAGCTCGTAGGTAAGGTAAGTCAGCTACAGTCGGCTTGCAAGTTCTCCCTCTTTTCTTGCCGCTCGTACTCGTATTCGAGCCTTCAGCTCTCATGCTCCCCCTGGCATGCTCAGGTTGGCGGACATTGGTCAGGAAAAGGAAGACATGGAAGAGCGGGCCTTAGCCGCAGGAAGCGTCGCCAGACTTCCGGCTTTCTACTCTTCAATTCTGCACTGGAAAGTGCAGTTTCTCTCCAAGATCTCGCGAGGTGGAGCTGTCGCGATTGAGAGACACCGTGGGAGGCCTGCGCCCCTGCATCCGACATCCGCAGATGGCTCTTCCGCCATCCTCAGCGGCCTCCTCCGGCCTCCGCCATCCTCTGCTCTTCGGAGGTGCTGCGGCCGAGGACCGAGGGCGCCGAGAGCGCCTCGCCGAAGCTGAGGCCAGCCGCCAGGCCCAGCGGATCCCCGCTTCCCAGCCAAAACACAGAGACAGCAAACGCCGGATGGGTTTCTGCTTTTTCGGGCGGTTCATATCGCGATTCACTTCGGGCTGCAACCGGTGTCAACGTGAGGACGAGTCCCGCGCAAGGACGGCTAGGAACCTTTCCGAGCTCCACAAGATGTTAAACGGTTCACCTTTCCGAGCTCCACAAGATGTTAAACCGTTCGAGCCCATTATCAGTCCTTGTTGCTTCCGCAGCAGCCATGCCGAGTCTCAGAGGCATGAGCTAGCCAAGCACGCACAGAGAGAAATTATTGCAAGCCTGCTTCGCAACATGGCGACTGGCGACAGCAATGGCTCTGAGGAGCCAGTCAAGCTAGACTTGCCAGCAGATGACTGGAAATCCGTGGCTCTACTTTCAGGCAGGGAGGCAGAGATCCCGGCTGTCGTGCGAACGCACGGCTTTCCTTGTTGGCTCGCTTTGTTGCAGGGGCTTGGGCCGCAGCTTTTGCGGTTTTCGCGTCCAATGTGGCGACGCTCACCCTGGCCGTCGCGGAGACAGCACCGGCTGTGGAGCTGGAGACACTGCCTTTGGGCCTTGCCCTTGTCATGCAAGGACCGATTCCCAAACCTACGTTAGGCCCAAAGGTAGCTGCCAGCGACATCTCCGAAAACTTATAGGAGATTCCAGATGAAAGAGAACTCAATGAGAGTTGGGGAGCTTGGCGCCTAGCGAGGCATCGGAACCATGGCACTTCCGACGAAAGTGCGCTACCTCGGGCGCAAGTACATGCAACTCGGACGCGCACATCGCACGTCTCTGGCTTGGGTTCACGATGCGTCGCGTTAAGGTACCTCGCTGGCGCAGGAGTTGGTCTGCTGAGCTGCTTAGCGCTCGCACTGGGCTCATGGCTACTGGACTTCGGCCTGCAGTGCCTCGGTGCTTGCCTGCTAGGCAGGGCCGTGGGCCGTCTCTGTGTTGGATGTGTTTTGCTTTGGCACTTTTTGGCACTTTGCATCCCTGAGCCCTGAGGGTATAGCTTCGCCCACGCGCAGAACTACCGCTTCGGTGCCATCCAGGCCATGCCCTCCAATCCACCACGTGCCATCAGCTCCGTTCTTTTCGGGGGTGTCGTCGGAGTGGCTTGGCCTTGGATGCTTCGGAGCAAGGGGTTAGGAGTTGTACTTTTTGGCACTCCAAGAGCAGTGATTTTCCAAGGCACTCCTGGGCCCTGGGGCTATTTCTCAGGCGCGAGACTTGCCGCTGGCCTGCTCAAGGTCAACCATTTGTTCCACTTGGTTTCGTGGAGTAGCGAGGATCCGAGGCATAAACAGGTTCTGATCTTCAAGGCTCTTGCAGTCAGTGCAGACTCAGCAGTGCCTGGTACGCTTGTAATCAGATACTTCATGTAGCTGGTGAGCTTCACTCAGTGGACAGAACAGCCTGCTGGAGCAAAAGGAGCATCCAGAGGCCTCTGCATAACCTGGAAGATTCCCAAGTGCATCCCGAAGAAGAGTGGAAGTGGTTGTCACAGCTTGACCTTGCCGCCTCAGTTCTGGTACGACCCAGGCTTCCCGTCCCTTTCATGGGCATCTACCTGTGCCTTCGTCCTTGTTGTGACTGTCTCGTTTTCCGGAGCCACATGGATTGAGTTCAAAGTTCACGTCGACAATGCTTCGGGCACTGGCAGCGAAACGGCGCCAGAAGATTCAGCCTGCGGCCTTGCGGCGTTGCATCGGGCTGGTTTTTTTTTCCGCCCCGGAGGGTTTTT